TTCAATTTGCTTTAGGTTTTTCTTTTGTTTTACCTCCAAACATTTTATCTCCCTTTCTCTCTACTATCATATTGTTGTACCTATCCTTATAAAAAAGAGTGTCCAGTATATATACTTATATAGTTGGTGTCTTTGTGCTATAGGTTTCACTCAGTTTCTTTTCTTTGTCAGGCTTACAAATGCAGCCTCTTGTTTAAAATTGCAGATTTACTTCCAAAACATTGCAGATTTATAGCTATTGCACATGCAAATGTATGGCTTAAATAATGAACCAATGTTTCTAACACCACATTAGAATATTGATTTGGATTAGACCAAAATAGAAAAATGAATTGTCTAAGACTACTCCAACCTTTTCGTCAAACTAAGAGACTAATGAGTTGTTATAAAGTTGTGTCTAATGTCTTTATCTTGTTTGTTTTGTATGGATTTAATGTATGCTTCTACTAATATTAGTATGAATTTCAATGATAATTCGGTGTACAACCAAATCTAAAAAATGTTATCTATCATTAAAAACAATTCTTGAAAAGCAATTTTCTATTGCTTACCAAATCCAAGTGACCACATATGAGATAAAGAAAAAACAGTTTTTCTATTTCGATATGCAATATCTAACCTAATAGATTAAACAACTGAAAATATAAAGTAACCAGGGTGTAGGAAGAAGTGATTCAAACAAGGAATAATCTTTCTGGAAATTGTATTTTTAATAGCATTGAATTCCCATAAATAGCTTTAACAGGACTTTGGAGCGCTCACAATCATTTGACTTTGAACTGATACAAACGGTGAGACTTGAGAGCAACAATGAGGTATAAGAATGCTTAACTCTTAGAGTACTACATTATCTCTTGTTTGACTAAACCTAAATAAAGGAATAAACAAATCCTTTGTAAAGGATTTGCAGCAAGAGGTTTCCGATGGAACGGTAGACATTCCTTTGAACTGAAATGTCATTTAAATCTCAGGGGATAGAAATTCTTTGTTTATTTACTTCATTTCTTTGTAAGTGTTTTGGCTGAGAAAATGTGGTTTTCTCCTTTCAGACTTTAGAAGGAGCTTCTCCCATGCTTCACTATTGGAGAATTGTTTGATGATTGTTAGAAACTGATGATACACTTTCTTGAATGGAAAACTGTTTTCTCATATAAAAAAGGAATAAAGAAAGCCTACAAAGCACTCTGCAGGTTAACAAGTAATGGCAATTTTGTCAAAATTATGGTGTTATGATTTATAAAGCATCCAAAATACAAAATACAAAACCCAATGGCCATTTTCTGCTTCTTCTCTAAAATCCTCCAAATATAATATCACAAAAGTTACTTTGAGTAAAGGATTAAAATCAATAGCTATTAGGTTACGTTTTAATAATTCATTAAGTGAGTAATTACAAAGAATTAGATATTTATTTTAAAATTGTCCATCCGTTTTTTCCCTCTTCCCAGGTTTACCGAAGAGGTTCATCCTCCCCTCTTTCTTGTATAAGCATAGGGAATCAAGAGCTTTTAAAACATTTTAATCCGTAAAATTCAAATGTTACCCTTTTTCTTGTATATGTCATCTAATGTCTACCCTCTTTCTTTGTGAGTAGTGTTATGTTGCTTGTCAATCGTCATAAGTATCAAAAAATGAAAACAGGTGTCAATGCTAAATCTTTAGGCTACTTGATGGACGGTTAACACTGAATACACTCAATTTTAAATCAAATTTTATCCTCTTGATTCCAGCCCACTGGTAGGCTCGTCTGATCTATGGTTGCGCATAAGCTCTCATAAAAGATTGAAGACATGCAGAGGCTTGCTCACCTTGGAAGAGCATCTTTCAGGCTTTGTCTTAAGGAGTCGAACTATATGCACTTCTCATTCTTTAGCCAAGTCCAGTTCTCATATTAGTAGCTTTTGTTTTTTTTAATATCTCTAGCTTAGTTTCAAATGTTAGAGGTGCTTTAGTTTTAGACCTTCAAGATACCCAAATGCAATAGAGATACCCCTTAATTTATATAGGGGTAAGGTACATGTCCCCCCCTATTTTTATTGTATCATGTACTTATTTTGAAAAAAAATTGATAAATGACACTCAATATTTACCTTATTTATTTTGGTGATTTGTCTTTAATATTATATATATTATTTGTTAAATGTCACATTTGTTACCCAATGTTCTTTGAGTGTTACATTTGTATAGGTTAAAGTCTGTTACAATTGCACTCAATTTGTAGTGGTTAAAGTCCGTTACAATTGCACTCAATTTGTAGTAACACTTTTGGTTTGTTCAGAAGACCGTTACAATTGATTCCAAAAATCGTTACATAGCGTTACATTTGAGAAAAGGCAACGCCAGCGAATGTAACGACACAAAACTGTTACATTTAGTAAAATGTAACATAAATATAGACCAATAGTAACGAAATTGAGTGTTACAAAAGGCCTCAAAATGTAGTAGTGTCTACTTTAATTTTAGAAGATAAATATTACACCGTAATTGTACAAAAGCTAAGTAAACATAATGTAAAACCATTCTAAAATGTGGTGTTTATGCACTACTAAATAGTACACATCACACGTATCACAAAAGAACATTGTGAAGTAAATTCGTAAACAATTGCTTTATAATCAATCCTTTCCAAGATCACATGTGCAATGTTTAAAATTGCTAATCCATTAAGTTTATTGAGGCATAATAGATAATTGGGATGATGTTTGAGAATTGGGAGACACTGGCAGCCCAAAGACAATAATATAAATTAATAATTTTGTAATTAAAAGAATACAAAATCTTAAAGGCTAAAAAGATGTGAAGAGACGTGTTTTTATTGATTCAACAACAAATGTGTTGACTTACAACCAACTCTATTTAAAAATCAAAACTAAATTTATATTCTTTTTAAAAACTTGTCTAGCTTTGTTCAAGACTTTTTACTTATGTTTTAAAATTCTCAAATTGTCAAGAAAAATTACACATTAGGCCTAATTAATTAATTGAAATTATAAATAAAAAAAGAACTCTACTCATATTACATATAAAGAAAAATACTTGGGCCTAAATAATTTTCTTTCTACTTTTTTTTGGGCTTAGAGCGGTCGCCCCTGTTGCCCTCTCCCTAGGACCGGCCATGGTCACATTGTACCAATACGTAAGCAAGAAACTTGTATTAAACTTAATAGAGTTTTTTTAATAGTAAATCCACGAAAAATAAAAGGACTCTTATAGGACAAAATATAAACTCATACACTTGTTCAATTTTGACCGTCAGTTACTCAAAACTAACAATAGCTTATCACCAAAAAAATATTTTATGTGTTTCATTGCAAAATATATTATTCAAATGTCAATTTATTATAGATTATATAAATGTTTATTTATAGATAATTAGGATCAAACATTCCCTTATGAGACCATAAAGTCAAATTAGGACTTTAATTGTGAGAAGCAGAGACTCAGTCACTGAGGGAGTATTTTTTAACATGATCCACTTTTTCCCAAATTTTTACATAATTGTCTTTCTATCCCAAAAAAGGATGACACACCCCATTCGAGAACAGATCAAACAATTATCTGTGAAGATATAAATTGAATTTTGATCTCGTGATGAAAAAAAAGTATGGTTCCATCTCAATTCATTGCTTAGGGCTTGTTTGCAAACTATTATTTTAAGGGCCTGTTTGGTAACAGCTGCAATAGCTGAAACTGCTGAAATTGCTGCAATGGCTGGAACTGCTGAAGTGAAAAGTGTTTGGTAATATCTTGGCTGAAGTGGCTGATTGAATGTATATTTACCAAAAAGGGTATTTGTTTCTTTGCATTTTAATTATGGGTATGTTTGGCAAATGGCTGTTAGCTGTTGTTGTTAGCTGGTTGTGTCAGCTGTTTCCTAACAGCTGGTTGTGTTAGCTGTTTTGACCGGCTGGTTATGTTAGCTGATTATAGATAACTGTTTGGTAAAATTGGTTGTTTCGAAATGGCTGATAGAGTGTAAATTGAACCAGCCGAATGAAGAAGCTGCTCCCCTTAGCTTCTTCAACAATCCATTTTTTCAGCTTTTCAAACTCAACAAGCTAATTTTAAAAGCCATTTACCAAACATCATTATTAGCTTCTTTGACCAATCAAACAGCTGAAATGAGTCAAACAAGCTAAAAGCCGGCTGATAAGCTATTTGCCAAACATACCCATAGGGTATGTTACCTTTGCTAGAAGATTACGTGGAAACCACAATCAAGATCACTTGTTGGTCTTACCTTTTCCCATTCATCTCTAATATATTTGACTGCAAGTAACTCACACTCTCATCACCCTTATTCAGCCACAAGCCCACAAAAATCAAATAGATGAATAAATAGGTGGTGTATTTGAAGGCTTCAATTCGTTACCTTTGGATGAATCACGAGCAGCCGCGCAGGAATAATTCACGCATCTAGGAAGAAGAAGATGCTAGATGCGAAGAAGAGAATTACAGAAGAAGTATTCTATACGTAAAAAGCAGGGGATAACTATGTCTTTTTAATGGTTAACCGTATAAAAATAGAAATCAGCCCAAAAAGTAAGGGTTGGGCTACTTTTTGTGCTTATAATAAAAATCAGCCAAATCAGCCCATTGAAGGGGTGTTTGGTGATTTTTTTGGTATATTCAGGCTTATCAGCCTATTTATGCTGCTCCAAACGGCCACTAAGTGTTTTTGGCTTTTTTTTAAGAAAAAAACACTTATTTTACCAAACAATACCAATTTTTATTTTCTCGGTTTTCGTGTAGAATCTACTTTTTATTTTTTCTATTACACAAAAAACACTTATTTTACCAAACACTATCAACTTTTACTACTAATCACTTTTTCCCAAAAAGTACTTTTATTTAAGCACAAGTGATTACAAAGAGAGCCTTAGACTTCCATCCAAATTGAGCTATGCCCCCGGTTAATTGTCTTTCTATCCATGAACTATAGTTAGGTTTTATCAACAATCAACGGACATTAAAGTATAGCACCCTAAAATTCTTTGTAAATAACTTCCATCGACTTCTTTGGCCCACCCTCTCTCCTCCCTCCCCCAACTGGCTACGACTACATATTGTCATGCGCATACTTGAGTAATTGTCAAAAATATATGGAGTAGAATTCGATCGAATTACTGCTAACTCTGCTCTTTCTTCGAGCCTCTACCGTCTCCGCCGTTTGATCGACCGCAAACGCTGCCATGAGCGACTCGCAAGGGTCTTCTTCTGCTTCCTCTTACTCGTCTTCATTTGAGGATGCTCTCGCAAGGCCGCGGGTAATTGATCAAGTTAAATTTCGCTATTGATCATCTTTCACTATATATTGGTCGTGGTTAGTTGCCTGTTACATCTAAACTCGCTCTAGTGGGAAATATGACTCCTTTGTTGACTTCCGGTGCTGACTGCCGAGTCCAATTTATAAGTAATCTTTGTAAATGTTTGGTTTCACCGATTGACTTACAAGTTCCTAAATTTTGTTGCTTTGATTTGCGGATTTTGGCATGCTCCCTAGTTTAAGTAAGTTTTGCTCTCATGCAGTGTGCATTTTGTTTCAGTTGTGTGTATACGGCCATATACCAGCCAGGTTACAACTTACAATCCGTGTATGAACCAGGAAAAGAACCTATGTTAGAAGTGTAATTTGGTTTGTGACTTTGTGGCTTGGTATGGTGCAAAGTCGCAAAGTGTAGGGCTGCTAAGTGTACACAGAGTGGGGAGTGCATATAATTCAGCATACCAAGGGGTCATTTTGCAAAATACCAGACACCCCTAAGTATATCTACTTAACCAAAAAACAAGTAAAATGTAATTGGTGCTCTTTTCTATAATTCCAGACTTGAATTTTATTTGTGCAGTGCACAATAAAATCATGAATGCTATTTAAAAATGGATTATAGAACTTCTGTTTTCATTAATGTACACATCGGTATATTTAACTGCAGAACGACGCTGGGTTTCATACAGCAGCTGATGGAAGTCATTCTGTGGATTTCACTGCAAGAACCTCACGCCATTGGAGAGATGTGTTTTGGTTGGTGATATTTCTGTTGCATCTAATAGTGGTTGGTTTGGCACTCGGGGTATTCGGCTTTAATAGGTTTAGGGAAAAGGATAGGCTAAAGATTGATAGATATACAATGCTATTTCTTGATAATCGTGAGGGTCTAACAGAGGATTATTGGCCATTGTATGCTGTTGCGGCTGGAGTCGCAACTGCTCTTGGTTGGACTTGGTTGTTGTTACTCGGTTCACAGGGGAACCAGATGATGAAATTCTCAGTGCACATCTTGACTACATATCTTGCAGTTGTCAGTGTGTTGTGTTTCTGGTCAGCACAGATATTTTGGGGCATTGCCTTTGCCATTGGTGCAGCTTTGCAGTTCATGTATGTCATATCAGTAATAGACAGGTAAAAAATGTGATAAAACCAAACACATATCCCCTCAGAGCATATATACTAAAACTATGAGCCCGTTTGGCAACCCTGTTTTTTGGCTTATGAGTCTTATCGGCCAACTTTTGCACCAAACACATAAGTTTTGATTTCGCGCGCTGGATTGTGTAATAAGCAGAAAAAGTAAGGTTGAAGTTACTTTTTTGGCTGTATTGGCTGAAGTTACTGTAGATGACCATGTTAGCTATTTTTACATATAACTTTTTCTTTATTTTATTAATAAAATATATTTTAAAAATAATTTTCTATTATATCAGCAGCATCAGCCAATGCAGCCACTTCAGCCAGAACTTCATAAATTTCAGCAGAATCAGCCAAAACAACCAATTTTCGTGCTACCAAACGGGCTCTATATGTGCTCAAATAGTCCTTAAGTTATTTGTGTTTGCAATTTTGTTTGAATCCCAACTGAAGAAAATTGGGTATATGTAAAGATGAATTTCTTTGTGATCCTCTCTTCAAAGCATATTGTGATGCTACTGAGGACATATGAATATATGATGCGATTCGAGGAGACAATAACTTGTAACATTTTTATTTTATTTGCCTAAATTGCTCTCTGTTTGATTGCAGTAAAATAAGTTATGGAAAGTGTTTCTGGGGAAAAATAATTATCTGGAAAATCAAGTGTTGTATGTATAAAATAATGTTCAACATGCTAAAACCGGAATGGTGAAACTGGTTCGGGAAAATAACCTTCCTCTATTGATAAGAAAGCCATTTTCCACAGAAATACAAAATAAAGAGGAAATCTTTTATCCTCATCTTTTTTGTCCCCAAACACCTAGAAGGATGTAGAACTAATGGAGTCTAGTTTTAATGAACTCTTGGGGTGAATCTTATATGTTCTTAATATTCTTCTAGTGGCGGAAACACTATTTGTGACATAAAATTGTGATAAATAAGGCTGTTTTCAGATGAGTTTATCCCTAGTTTGAGTTGGTTCATTTAGCCAATCTCAGTGATATGGGATTAAAAACTTATTCAAATACAAAACTAATTACTTCTACTTTCAACACATTTAATTAATCTCTAACAAGAGTGCTAATAATGATATATTCATATATACAGTAATATATGATTATTATTAAAAACATTAATGATTGTTTTAGGCTGTATGATAAGTAGAAGAAAACAACAACAATAGTAATAGTATTTGTGAAAGTAAAACTAATGATTACTATTATTCTAAATAATTACAATAACGATTGTAGTTATAATAACAAAATATATTATTAAATAATGGTGTGATGCTTGTCTGTAAGTGTATTTTTTGTTAGCTTTGGTCCGCTTTAGCTTGGTCTGTTCTAGTTTGGAGCCAAAATAGGTTCAGGAGAAGTGGTCATTACTCATATCATAAAGTGTACTAAGTTGCCAAAATGCATTGCACCATTTCCCGAATAAAAGGGAAAAATAGATTTATTTTCATATTTTAAATGACAATTTTTTACATATATTTGTCTTCATTATAGATTTCCATTTACCATGCTAGTGTTACAAAAGGCAGTCAAGATGGTGTGGAGCCTTCCTGAAGTTATGGGAGTATCATGTGCATTTACACTGGTCATGATTTCATGGTTAGTACTGTGGTCCTTTGGAGTAGCTGGGGTTGTGGCTTTAAGCATTGGTGATGGTGGACGTTGGTGGCTACTTGTGGTGAGCTGGCAAGTTTTTGCTTTTAATTGTGCCTTATTACAAGTTCTGCTCTCACTTTATTACTTCTTAAAACAATTCAACCTATGCTTTTCTATGAACGTGCAGGTTTTCTGTGTTAGTTTATTCTGGACAGGCGCAGTTTTTTGCAACATTGTTCATGTTATAGTGTCTGGGATGGTGTTTTTTGTTATATACCATGGCGGTCATGCAGAAACATCAATGCCTCCTAAACCGCTGTTGAATTCTCTGAGATATGCTATCACTACTTCTTTTGGCAGCATCTGCTATGGATCACTGTTTACGGCCGCTATCCGGACATTGCGTTGGAAGGTTAGTCAACTTCACCCCAGGACCTGTATTATCATATTATGTAATAAATACTTCTAATAAAAGTTTTATATTGTTTTTCATTTGGAAAGTTATATTTCTGTGTCATTTGTATTGAAGTTTCTGTCTGAGCTGATATAAGTAACAATATCCTTTATCTGCTCACTGCAGATTAGAGGAGTAAGGTCAAAGATTGGTAACAATGAGTGCTTGCTTTGTTGTGTGGACTTCCTTTTTCATTTGGTGGAGACGCTAGTCCGATTCTTCAACAAGTATGCTTACGTCCAGGTATTTAAGATTATATATACTGTTGTTGGAAGGGCTTCGTTTGTTGTGTGAACTTCCCCTTTCATTTAGCGGGGAGACGTCAAGTCCATTGCTTCTATAAATATGCCCATGTCCAGCTAGTTAGGTTTATACATACAAATATAGCTTAAAGAATATGAATGAAGGTAGCTTTTTAAAATGATTATCTAGCCTGCCACATGAATGGGTAAGAAAACTTTTGTAATGGCTATTTGGGCTTGTGAGCTTTATGCAGGCTGGATGAATTACAGACAGGCACGGTCCTGTTCAATAAGTAAACAGACCAAAACTCTTACCCAAAAGATGACATGATTATTACATGGATAATTGGATATCCCATGACATAACACGCCTAGCCCTTGTATCTTGCTAAGCACAAATAAGCACAACCCATTTAGCCTATTTAAATACTAAAAAAATATTGAAATTAAAGTACCAATTTCAAAGGAACATTTCCTCATACTATGTTTAGGGATTGAAATCCATTTTTATTAAGCCTTACATGTGCTTTGAATCCTGTGTCAGGTCTAATTCATCATCCGGTGACCCCAGCTAGGGTCCAAGTCCATTTTTGGACCAATCCCAATTAGTCCATGTCTTTATTGTGTAGTCTGTGATTGGACCATATGGCCACCCATAGATAGTATGTAATAGCCCTTTTTAAATATACTCCCTCTGTCACATATTTAGCTTCCGAATTACTATTGATATGGTCAAACTTTGAACGCATATTGTATAACTGTATAAGTCAAGGCATAAATATACTCCTTTTGATATGGTTGAGTTCAAGGGATCTCTATGAAGTATGAACTACCCTAGAGAAATATTTTGGATGACCCCAGAACATCTAGAAGATCTAAGTTTACATTAAGTGATTAAAAAATTAATTTCAACACCTCTCCTTGTTAAAAAAAAACAAAATAAGATCAACTAATGGAAAATATAACTTGCCAGTAACCTATGGAAAAATATGACATCATGTATGGCCTTGGGTATGAAGATGCAAGTGTTGGGCAACGGGAAGCCTTGAGTAGATGAAGTCGCTGAAATAAAGCATGCTGCCAATTTTTTCTTGAGCAATTGCATCCTACATTTTGTTTCTTCAACCGTTAGTGCTTTTTACGCCATGGTTCTGAATTGTGATAATGAGTCAATGACTCAGGAAAAAAAACATGTAATCTTTGTGATTTTTCTTATAACAGATTGCTGTTTATGGTAAAAACTTTAACAACTCAGCAAAAGATGCTTGGGAGCTGTTTCAATCAACCGGAGTTGAATCACTGATTGCATACGACTGTTCTGGTGCTGTACTACTAATGGGCACCCTTTTAGGTGGACTGATTTCTGGAACTTGTGCTGGAGTTTGGACCAGGATCAAGCATCCGGACAGAGTTATGATGGTCGGTTCCACTTCCATGTTGATTGGGATGATCTTGGTAAGAAAGTTCTTCTTTTGGCATGTATTTTATCTTTTTTGTTTGTGTGCTCACTCACTGACGCGCTCACCCATAGCATGCAACTTTAAAAATGAAGATAAATAAATTTTAATCTATGAGTGCCTTGATTTACCTAACACTAAGGTACTGTTTTTCGTACCCTAATTGTAGCTCGGTAATTTTTATGGAAAATAAGTTTGTTGTATTGTGATACGGTGAGACCTGTAGTATTTAGCCCACAGCCCCACACAAACATTTAAAGAAACTACTCTGGGTCATCCGGAAACAATCTCTGTGTGCTTTAGTACAGGGGTAAGACTGTGTACATCCGACCCCCCTACCCCACCGTAGGTGGGAGCCTTTGCGGCACTGGGGTAATGATGGTGATTAAACATTTAAAGAAACTAAGTGAGTGTTTGTTAATGCTTAAAATAAGCACTTCTTAGCTTTTAACTTAAAAAAAAACTAAAAAACTTCTTAGCTTTTAACTTAAAAAAAGTTAAAAGTGTTTGCGAAATCCTACTTCTAATTAAAAAAAGCACTTTAAATCCAAAAGCTAGAAGTATATACCAACTTCCAAGTGCTTCTAGGTATTCTTGTAAAAAACTCCAAACTGTTTGAATAATTATAATGCCCCTAAATCCATTTAAACCCCAAAATACCCTGAAATAATTGCAACCCATGACATCTGCCCTCTTCCATCCGTCATTCCAGCTCTTCTCCCAGAGTTGTCGGCACCGATGAACTTCAATGTCCAGATGCTATCTTTTTGATAACCTGAATCATGCGAGTGAAAATTAAAAATCATTTGAACTTAAAAATCTAGTGAGTAAAAATCATTGATGAATTTCGATGATTGTCATGTAAAAATCTAGTATCATCAACCCTTCGGCGATGCAAGAAGATAGACAGTACAAGAAGGAAATTTGAAACATAAGGATAGAAGAATTTTTGGATTCTTACCTTCTAACCATAGCATAGCTCGTCGAACATAGAAGAAAGAAAGGTCCAAGAAAGAGACCAACAATAGGTATTTAATTATGGAAGGGTAATTTTGTACTTCTACAATTTACTCCCAAAAAAATCACTTATTTTACCAAACACTCCAACTTCAATTTTTTCACTAAAAGCACTTCTATTATAAAACACTATCAACTTTTACTATTAATCACTTTCTCTCCAATCACTTAAAAAAAGTTAAAAAACCACTTTTTTAAAGCAAAAGCAAATGCAAACACTCCCTAAACTGTTCAGAAATGCGAGGAATCCCGAAACCGAGAGCTTCTTGGGGTACACCTTTTTTGTACACTTCTACCTTTTTTAGTTGAAAAAATAGGGGGTGTACACAAAAAGTGTACCAAAAGGTGTCAAACAGATTTTTCCTCCCCAAAATAGCAAAATCCAAGAACTTTTTACCTCTGAAAATATTTCCCTGCAATCAAATGTGGCCGTAAATGGGAAATTGGCTTGGTAGCAAATCTAGGCTCAATCCTTTCTTCAAAAACTGACTAAATTCTAAGCTCACATGTGTGACATTGAATTGCAGGTGGGTTTAGCGAATGTAGTGGTGGAAAGTGCAGTGACCGCCTTATATATCTGCTTTGCTGAAGACCCTTTACTAGTAAGTAAATGGGATTCAGAGTTTTTTGACAAGATGTCGGAGACCCTTCACCAACGTTTGCAGCACAGAAGTGCACGTGCAAGGCAAGTCGTACTAACCACTAGGTTCGATACCCAAATGCAAGAACCAGTGCAAATCTGAATTTTATGTCTCCACAAATCGGAATTGAAAATAACTGTCTATATTTATATTTATATTTATAATTTTATATATTCATACAATTATCCAAAGAATTACAGGTCCAGTTATAAAGGTGTAAATTTTTGTGCTTCCAACGTCATTCTTGTGGTTTTCCTTGATATGGCCTATTTGTAAAGAACTATAACATTGAGACTGATTGACTTTTTATAGGGTCGGTGTAACCTATAAATTCTGGATTTTAATGATATCATATTTACTGTTTACTTAACCAAATTGAACGGTAATTTCCTAATAAAAATAAGAATGATCAAGCGTAAGGCATTTCCCATGCAAGTCATTGTTTTCCTTGTTGTTTTTTTGAAAATTTTGTTTTCCTTGTTTTAACTTTGTTTTGAAAGTGAAAGTATCACATATGAGCCCTGCGTTGTTATCACATACTTCTTCCGTTTTTAACGGTCAACATTTCACACTTGTCGAGACACAACTTTGACCATTAATATATACTCCGTATATAATTTTGTATTAGTAAAAAAGTTTAAAAAAATAGATTTTGAAAATTTTGTTCATAAAAAATATTAATACATTAATAAATAAAATGTAGTCAAAGTAGAACATGTGAATAGTGTAAAATTCAAGGTGTTACATTTATTTAAGAACGGAAGTAGTATGTGATAACGACACAGGGCTCATATGTGATACTTTCACTTTCAAAACAAAGTTAAAACAAGGAAAACAAAATTTTCAAAAAAACAACAAGGAAAACAATGACTTGCATGGGAAATGCCTTACGCTTGATCATTCTTATTTTTATTAGGAAATTACCGTTCAAAATTTGGTTAAGTAAACAGTAAATATGATATCATTAAAATCCAGAATTTGTGATTGTTTTTTGTCAATACTAAACAAGTAAACAGAAAGTCAAGCATCATGGAAAAATAAGAATACTATGAACAAAATTTTTGGAAGATTGTTTGTGAACAATATAAAAAATAGAATCTTTCTGAAGAACATTTAAAAATTTATTGTTGTGAACTTGTGATAGACGATAGTGTATATATGTTGAATTCTACTCCTTCACACTACATATGCAGAGGCCGTTTGGTAACATCTTTTTTGGCTTATCAGGCTTATCAGCTAACTTTTTCACCAAACACGTAACTTTTACTTTCGCGCGCTGAATTGTGTAATAAGCAGAAAAAGTAAGGTTAGAGTTACTTTTCTGGCTGTATTGGCTGAAGTTACTGTAGATGACCATTTTAGCTATTTTTACATATAATTTTTTCTTTATTTTATTAATAAAATATATTTTAAAAATAATTTTTACTTAAATCAGCAGAAACAGCCAAAGCAGCCACTTCAGCCAAAACTTCATAAATTTCAGCAGAATCAGCCAAAACAGCCGATTTTCGTGCTACCAAACAGGCTCGCAATATCGATTTAGTGTTTGTTAGAGACAATTATATGTTTATAATTATTTATGCTTAAAACACTTTAGGGATGTAATCACTTTACACCGTTTGTTTTAATTATTTGATGTAAACTGTAGTGTATTCTTTAAAAACATTTTACTTTTTACATGGGACTTTTTACATCGGGAAGGTTGGTAAACTACTTTACATTATAAACACAAATAAAATACACGGTTTAATTTTTTACAGTCCAGGCCTAATTTTAACTACTCCAGTACTCCGTACTTGAGTATGACTGCTGAAGAGGAAAGCTTGTCGTCAAGAAGTAAGCTTTACGGCAGAAGAAGAAAACAGCCCTAATTATAAGAATGAAACACGTAGACCGCACTTTTGCATAAGTAAGCTTCCACGTTAGTTTTCTTTTTTAATTTAATGACATGTGGAGTATTATTTAGAGTATTATTGTATGGTAAAATTAAAGTAAAATTTAGTTTTTAATGAGATTCGTTTACTTGATTCGGGTGAGTTATGGAAAACAATGTAAGAGTTCTCGTGTAATTTAAAAATAGATTGTACACATATCAAATGATGTATTTTAATTTTACATGTAAAATGTTTACTGTCCTAAATTTCATATGCAATCATTTTACGTGTAAAGTTTTAATGTTTACACTATCAAACGGGCTCAGATTTTGATATTGCATTCAATTAAGTTACTATCTTTCAGTTTCAAGGTTTCATTGCTCACGGATCTCCTTTATTAGATCCCTAAATTTTAGGTTTTGAAATCCAAATTTATTTTGATGTTTCTTGGGCAGTTGTATTTCTTTTTAGAGTAAAATGCATAAATAGTCCCTAAACTATCATCATCATATCGTTTTGGTCCTCGAACTAATAAATCTATCATCTTAGTCCCTAATCTATTTAATCCATATTAATTCGGTCTTTCTGTTAATATTTTGACGTTAAACAAACGGAATGTGATAATAAGTTAGTGCATGTATGTGTAAATCAACATACTTATTAGACAAATTATAACTTAAGATTGTTGAATCTATTTTTCTAAATCCTCAGTTACGCACTACTTATGCCTCCTCCTCCTGGACAACTACATTACTCTAGAACAATGATAACACTCAATTTGATCAATCAAGCTTGAGGTACACATTTTCATACACACACCTACACATTCATGTTTGTGAAGAGTATTTTTTTGTCTGTATACAGACATAACATATTTTCAAATATGTTATGTCTGTATACAGACAAAAAAATATTCTTCACAAACATGAGTGTGTAGGTGTGTGTATGAAAAATGTGTACCAATAGATTTTTTGCAATTTGATTTCCTTTTCGGAGCCAGTCAAATCAATGATTCATGCAATTTCTGTTGTGTAGAATTTCCTTCACTGATTGCTAGTGAAGCCAGATCTTTTAGTTGTAATTTTTTATTTTTTCGTTGGAGTAGCAAATGCAATAAAACTATTAGACTAGACTATATTATTGCAGGATAAGCGATTCATAAGGATTTGTGAGATATTTTCCGTTCTATGTTTAATATCATTATAGTCTTAGACTCTTAGCCTATTCATTGACATGTTTCTTTGCTATTATTTAATGAATAATTAACTATTTGTTGTCACAACTCTTGATAAGGTTGGATCTAAACAAAGCCAATGTAGCTAGATGTGTTTAAAATTTTCCTCTTTTGCTTGTCTTGCTACGCTACATTTGTTTCATACAATTTGATACTCCCTCAATCCCAAATTGTAAGATACATTTACTATTCACTTGGTCAACACAAATCACTATTAATCTTTTACTTTATATATCAAAAGTTTATGAAATGTGAATTATTTTTTGCAGGTTTTGTAGCGGTTTTAATGTAGTTTCTGAATATGTAGATTTTATTTTATAAAACTAATTTGAGTGTTGACAGAGATCAATTAGCTTTATCGTCAGTCAAACATCGTAAACCGTAAAGTATCTTACAAATTGGGACGGAGGGAGTAATAATTTTATTAGTATTTTATGTTAACCCTATAGAAATAATCCTTAAGGCCCTTTAAACCACTACAGACTTTGTTACTTTATTGGTATTTTTTCACACCACTTCAGACTTTATATGTAAGTACAGTTGAAATTATCCTAAACCTATAGAAATGATCCTTAAAACCTTGTTTGGTTGGAAGATTTCAGACAAGGTGGAAAGTGATCGCAAGATTTGTGTATATTTGTTTGAAAGAAGTGGGGGGAAAGGAGAGAAAAGTCGATGGTTTTCATAATTCTCCGCTTCCTCCTTTCCCAACCCCCAATTCGTGATGTTTTAGAGGCAACGTGTTGTTGACGAAAATTCAAAAATTAAAAAATCTATTAAAATTTTGAAAAATGGAAAAATGGAAAAATTCAAAATTTGAAAATTAAATTTTTTAAAAAATAATAATTTAAAATTTTAAAAATTTGAAGTTTTAAAATTTTTAAAATATAAATTTGAAAATCTAGGAATTTAGAAAAATTAAAAAATTTAAAATTGAAATTGATGGATAGTGTACTTGAGAGTAGCTTATTCGAGGGATATTATGAGAAATATCTAGAGAGAAGTCGGAGCAAACAAGTAAGAGAGAGAGTCAGATATATTGAATGAACTCGAGATCTGGGATCCTTTACAATGAGAAAAAGGACTGCTATTTATAGCAACCATAAATGCTATACGTGTACACATGTCAACCATCCGACGGCTGAGGGTCATTTCAATCGGGGTGGCACCGACAGTCGCATGTGTACCGCATTAAATGCGGTGGTTGCATGCGACGCCGCATTGAATGCGGTGGTTGTCTGTCTTCAGAGGGAATCTTTGCTGAGAGTGGTGACCCTTCGGACTAGCCACTCATGACCGAAGGCTCCACATTTGTGCCGAAGGCTCCCCTTTGGCCGAAGGCTACTGGTTTAGCCAATCTCCCAGAAACTTTGCAGGTTCAGATCCAGCCGTTTCCTGGAGTTTGGAGCCCTCGGCCCAAGAGTCGAAGGCATCCTCGTACACACAGTGGGTTCCTTTAGGCTTGGGCCGCTGTATCTGGGCTTCGTATGCTTATTAGGCTCATTGGGCCTATCTAGGAGAAGTATGAGTCTGTGGGTCGGGGGTCCCTGGGCCATATACTCCATCAGAAATATAAAACATTTAAAAATTGAAAATTTTAAAATTTAAAATTTTAAAAATATAAAATTTTAAAAATTTAAAAAGTTAACAATTTTAAAAATAAAAATTTTAAAATTTGAAAATTTTAAAACGGATTTCAAATTTAACATATTATTACAACTTTAGAAACATATTTATAAGCTATATAACTAACATATTATTAGACATTAAAAACCTAACATATTATTATGTTTTTAGTTAATAATTTGAGAAATAAATTTTATATTGTGCTAAAAGAATTTGTCACTTTTATTGGATTTTTTCTTTTTTCGTAACACGTTCAGGCCGTAAAATAGGCCTTTAACAATAACAGGCCACACCCAAGTTTAAACATGGGGAATTCTATTCACAGCCACCCTTTTACTAAATACACTCACATGTTTTCCATAATGCCTATTATATCCTTAATAATACCCAACTTAATTCAGAGTCTCTGGAGGAAAATCACGTTCGTCTATTCTGTGTATTGCAAAGAAGGAAACGAACAACAATCGATGTCATCGTACAGAGATCGAAACGGTGGGGATATGGGAGAAGTAGTGTCTCGACTCTCGACTGGAGA